GGTCTGTGTGTGTGTGTGTGTGTGTGATGTGTGTCAGATACATCAGCGTATGGAGTGTGACGTGCTCTTTCTCTGTCTGTGTGTGTGTCAGGTTGAGTCAGCAGCAGATCTCAGAGCTGAGCGCTCAGGTGGAGGAACTGCAGAGAGCTTTACAGGAGCAGGACAGCAAGACCGAGGACGTCAGTAACTCACACACGCACTCTCTCTCTCACGCATGCACGCACACACACACACTCTCACTCTCTCTCGCTCTCTCTCTCTCTCTCCCTCTCTCTCTCTCACACACACACACCTGAATCACTGAACACACACACACACTCTCTCTCTCTCTCTATTTTTTTATATATATATATATATATGATATTTTAATGCTATTTGGGAAAAAAACATTTTTTAATAATTATTAAAAAGGTATATTGTTTGTGAAATATTTATACGTCATTGAAATTTAAGCTTATATTCTTTTATTTATTTACCTTTTTTTAATAATTTTTTAGTAATTCAGGTTTTTATTTTTAGAATTTATATTTTTTTATTTTGGAGTGACATTTGTGCTGTTTTTATATCATGCACATAGAACATGCTAAACAAAGACGTTTTTATTTTTTTATATAGTTTTAAATTTTATCGTAGAGTTAGTAATTTTATGTGCTTTATTATTTTTATTATTTGTTTTAATATTTCCACTCTGCTTTAATTTATTTTTAATTTCAGTTTTAGTAATTTTAGTACTTAAAAATAATGAAAATTGTAAATGTTGCCTTGGTAACTGATTGAAATAAAATTTTGTATTTTTTGTAAATTATTTAAAAACATCAATCAATTTTTATGAGATTCATATTATGCATATAGAACATGCTCAAAGAATTTTTCCGAGCTACAATCACTTGGTTCAGTCCACAAACACTCAGTGCTGCTGTCTGATGGGCGATCTGCCTCAGAATCCACACCTTTCTTAATTTGTAATCTTTCTTAATAACTTGCTCCACCTCTTAAATGATTTTATGAGAAAATGAAGTCTGCATGGGCTTTTGTAAATTATTTAAAAACATCAATCAATTTTTATGAGATTCATATTATGCATATAGAACATGCTCAAAGAATTTTTTTCCTTTTTTGAGTTTTTTTATTTTTTGTATATTATAAAATGTTTTTTTCCCCTTTTTTTTTTATTGATATAATTGTTTTTCTTTATACTTTGGAGTGAAATTTGTGCTGTTTTTGTGAGGTTCATATGAATTTATCAGATAGAACACGCTCACCGAAGGCATAAATCCAGTCACATCCTCATGAAATGGGTGTTAAATGTGTAGTGAATGGCATATCTCCTCAGACAGCAGTGATTGAGTGATTTCCGTCTGTTTGTGATCCATTGATTTAAATTAATATGACTAACTTGATCATCTGTTTCTGATGTAAAACCACACAATATCTCGTAAAGAGTCTCTCTCTGTCTCTGTCTGGTTGATTGATGTGTGAAATCTGTAACTGTTTTGTTTGCGGTGCTGAAATTAACGCCTGCTGGTCTGTTTTCATCCGCCCATCTCTTCTAATCGACCAATCATCTGCCGCCTCAGGTCATTGTAAGTACCGCCCACCGGCCCGTCTGCTTTCTGATTGGACACTGATTGTTAATGTGATGTGAACACTCAGGGTGTGTGATGAACACAAAGTCTGATCTGTCTGTGTGTCACTGCTCTGTTTCTTTCCCGACAGTCGTCGCTGTTAAAGAAGAAGCTGGAGGAGCATCTGTGAGTGTCTCTCTGTCGTCTGTCCTGTGAACCAGCGTTTCATCACATGTTGTGCTAATGCTGTGTGTGTTTTGCTCAGAGAGAAGCTCCATGAGGCTCATTCTGAACTGCAGAAGAAACGAGAGGTGATTGATGATCTAGAGCCGCATGTGGACAGTAACAGTGAGTCAACAGACACACCCACACACACACACACACACACACACAGACACTCACACACGACCAGCAGCAGGTCAAAGGTCATAGCTCATAGACAAACACCAAACTACTCTGAAGCTAGTTCGTAAAACTCATCAGTTACTCATCAGTTGAAGTATCAAAAATGACTGCAATAAATACGATTTATGAAAAAATGTAAACATTTCGCACACACACATGCATATATACATATATGTATTATGAAATTTTATTTAAATATTGTTTATGCACTGTTATAGAATTCATGGAGCTTTAATTATATTTTCTGTGTTCAGTATCTTAGATTTAGTCATTTTATGTGCTTTTGACTTTTTTTTTGAGTGCTTAAATTCACAAACTTTTGAATGTTGCCTTGGTAACTGACTGAAATAAAATAAGCACAATTCTTTCTTTTTATATTTTATACTTTTATATTTTTTACATTTTATATATTATAAAAATATATTATATTTGAGTAATTTAGTAGTTTTAGTAATTTTGTGCTTTTGTCGGTTTTATTAGTTTATAAATATATATATTATTAAACTATATATATATATAAAACTATATTAGTTTTATTATATTTCTATTTAGCTTTAATTTATTTTCAATTTTAGTTTTAGTAATTGTAGTTCTTAATAATTAATGCAAATTATAAATGTTGCCTTGGTAACTGACTGAAATATAATGAAATAATAAAGTTTTTGTCATATGCTTAGTTTTTATATTTTATATTGTTATAATGTAATATTAATTATATTTTCAGTTTCCAATTTTATCATAGTTTTAGTCATTTTGTTATGCGTTTTTGTCATTTTTATTATATTTCTGTGTTTTTAATATTTGTATTTATCTTTATTTTTAATTTCCGTAATATATGTTAATAATAGGTATTTTGGTCTTTTAAAAAATTAACAAATTTGAATTGTTAGCTTGGTAATTTACTGATTTCTTTTGAAGTTTTTTTTTTATATTATAAAGAAATATTATATTATAAAAATATAACATCTTTTTTTATATATTTTATTTCAGCTTTATTTCAAGTTAACAAGAACTACACTATTTATTCACATCTAATACAAATATTATTATTGCCTGCTCATTCACTTATAAAAGTGACTAGAAAATTATAGTACATCATAATTTTAAAAAATGTACATTAACAATGTTATAAATATCATGAAATCATTTCAAGCAGAAAAATATGCAAATTTTTATTTCAATACAAAGACATAAAAATGCAGTGCAGGGACTTTTGGGAGTGCTTTTGAATTGAACCAGTTCATTGAACGATTCATCTGAACAAACTGATTTGTTCAAATTAATCAGATTCAGGAGAGTCTGAACAGACTGGATGCTTTGCATCAGTTCATTACAGTACGACAAAAAACTGTGATTTTTGAAGAGTAAACCGTGTTTCTGTCATGTTACACAGCTGCTTGTTACAATGCATATATATATATATATATATATATATATAACGATCGAACAGTCCTGCACGTGTTTCCATGAACGCCATACGTGTGTGTTTCAGGTCATAAAGACTCTGGACCCCAAGCAGAAGTCTAACGCGGTTCCTGCT